GGGTTGTATTGTATTTGTATTTACACTTGCCCAATAAATATTTGGCAGAGTGCCGCAATACATGAGTAACAATAACTAAAACTAAGAGGTGAGAGTCAGCTGAATGGGTGGAAAGTTCCATGTGTTGTGTGGGCATTCAGCTTCCCGGTTGCCCAGGCCGAGCAAGAGGGTTAACTTAAGGGACCCCATTCCGTGTCTTTGGTCTTACAAACCTGACCTGCAAGACAGCAGGGTTGCCAGCTTCTCCATCGACCACTGATCACCCTTCTCCCTAAACCGTCAACCTGGATCTGCCTTCACACCCACAAATCGAACGTGAGATCGGACAGCTGAAATTGAACCAGGCCGCCGGAGCAGATGGAATTCATCCGGCCCTCTTCAAATTCCAGGGACTATGCTCTTTTGTACGATTTAGATAACTTGCTAGTTTATTTATATGAGCTTGAGATTGTCCCAACAGACTGTTGCCGCTCCGTTATCCTCCCAATTTCCATGTGAGGTTCCTATTCAAAATTCGGCAATCCTAGAGGGATCAGTCCGATCTTAATTGCCTCTAAATTGTTTGCATCTGTCGTTCTCCACAGACTAACTGGCAACCGTCACGACACTGGACATTAACGTGGTGTGACAGTTTGCATACCTCGTCGACCAATTGAGCTTTGTTAGGTGGGGCCCTCAGGCCTCTTTAGAGTTACTGCTACCAGGTTGGTCAAAGGTTGGATTCCAGACGAACTCTGTCTCGCTGGTCCTACAGCTTGGGGGGTTAAAATGGGACGGCGTCCATTTCCGTAAAACTGAATCGTTGCCACATCCGCTGCCTTGTGGACAGGCTTTTGAGCCTAAGATTTTGGTTGAAGACTAGTCGTTCTGTCTAGATCTGGGCGCCCTGGCAGTATCTCGGCCCACGTACAACCATAACTACTTCAGACTTCAACCATATCCTGCATCGGCCGTCGCGCAGCTTATCAAAGGTCGCTTTATCTACTACCTACAGCAGGACGGATAAGCGTAAACATGGTACTGCTGACGGCTCCCTCCTTTCCTTTACAACAGTTTCTCTTACTCCCTTCTAAGTCCCTATTACTAGCCTTCATCCTATAATTCCCCGTTTAATTATCAGCAACTTCAATACCACTGGAGCCATATCATCTGCAGCTATGTTCCCGCACCGCCTACTGGACACTAATCACCAACGGCTCCCTATAAGGCCACACTGTCCCGTTTCCCTGGCGGCGTTCGACGTTCGCGCTCTAAGGCAAATAGATTAACAGACTTCTTTCACACGCACACTAGACACGCTGCGCATTGATGTGTGTTATGCATCCGAAACTAGGATCAATGACCCTTGCGGGGTTGTTGAATTAACTGCATTCGGTTTGTCTTCTGGCTATTGGTTGCGCTTATCCGAAGACGCTGATATGGCAACCACTGCCCAAGCTGGAGTGGGTCTTGTTCTCAGCTCCAAGGCTGATTGGTTGATTGGACGCCCGTGAACAACTGTTTGTGTGCAGTTCGTTTGACGACATCAACTAAAGTTTCTTCGCGGAGTGGCACTAGGCACTGTTTATGTGTGATTTCTGCTTATTTCCCCACCGAAGGACGCTTTCAATCACGTGCTAAACACGCTACTGTTGCGGGAACGTTAAGTAATCGCGTAAAAATATGCAACTGTGCTGCGCACTCCAATACGCGAGCCGCGCCACGCCGAGTCCATTTTCCTACCCACAGCGCATTAGCATATAACCAGTCCATAATCGTGCCAAAGTGAACAATGGTCTTTTGTAAATTACGCCCGGTATGGTGATTCATTTAACACAAAATGAACCCCTGTGCCAACTATGTTCGACCTTTGTGGGTCATTCAAGAGATCTCAAAGGTCCGCCTCGTCTTCTGTCTTTTCTCTGTGAGGTGGTTGGGTTTCGAATGGTCATTTGTGTGTGCGTCGCTTTACTCGGCCGGCTTCGTAAGCGCGTCTATTCACTCGGCCGAGTGCGCATCGTTTGTCTGGTTTCGAGCACTCAGTCGTTAGCTGAATACGTGCGTGAATAGGTACGGGACTCAGCGTCACGTGCAACTTCGCGGCTAGGCTAACGCGACCGTGGGAGTGCAAAGCTATTACAACTACTACGCGGTGTTACCAATTCAGATCTCATAGTTCTTGCAGGGGATATGAATGCGCAAGTAGGTCGTTTGGGCTCTTTGCTAGTTGGTAACTTGGCGAGCGTCTTACAGCTGTGCGCGGAGCACCACTGGGTGCCGAAGTGCCTGTTGGCATCCTCCTGTAGCTGACTGGCGATGGCCCCATAAGTTACAGGTGGCGTGATTCCATCCTGAATTGTCGCTTCTTCTGGAGTACTTGAGTTGACTTATCGTGCCTTAGTACGCTGTAGTTTTTCCATGACCTTTACCCGTAGGCCTACAAGCACCTCCCTCGATCGACAGCTGAGAAGTTATCTCAGCCCTCTGTCAGGCAAGCCCACCAAGCTGCACTGCGTACCGAGCTTGCATTCTCTCTTCTTAATGACCCTAAGCTTCAATGGAATGGGATCTCGGCTGCCCTTCAACATGAAGGCGCCTCAGATTGTGACACTATCAGTCGTCACCCCATCAGTCACTGGATATCCAAGAGGTCATTGAATCTGTTGAAATCTACAAGAAAGCTCCCGGCTAGCTCTGAGCACAATGTGACCAAATGGACTATTGAGCGCGTGCCTGCGTGCTGACAAGGAAGTCTGGTGGACCAGTCGGCACAAGAAATAGAGGGTGCAGGAGCAGTGGGCAACTATCGCAAGCTCTTCCAGCTGATCCGCACCACTGGTCCCAGGAAACCAGGCGTCAGTGAGACAGTCAGAGACAGTGCGGGCTCCCTGACCCATAATAAAGGGCGCGGTATGGCTCGTTGGGTGAAGCACTTTCGAGAGCAGTTCAGTTGTCCCCCTGCTTCTAGACCTCTTCCTACTCAGGTGTTGAAGGCTGAGTCATGGCCGGTTAGTTTAGACTCCCTCGGAGGTTGAAGTCCGGAATGCCATTACAGCCCTTAAGCATTTTCGTGCTGCTGGCCTGGATTCGCTCGCATCCGCACTAAGTATAGTAGTAAAGTCTGCAGAGCACTGACATCCTTGTTACAACAGGTCTTGAAGGCAGGGGTCATCCCGGCTAACGAGTGAATCAATTACAGTGGCGAAATACAAGAAGAGCAATCGCCCCGACTGTTCTAACCACAGAGATATTAAGCTAGCACTGGTGGTAACCAAATTACTGGCATCGGTTATCGTTCGTCGCCTCACTGAGTAGCGCGAATCTCCGATTAGGGAAAAACAGGCAGGCTTCCACCCAGAACGGAGCTGTATAGACCACATATTTACTCGGCGAAACATCGGTCCAAGTGACTGATGTACTGTTGTTGATGATGATGTGAAACCCAAATGCGAGGGTTTCGTCGAAATTGAGGTTGCATTGACCGTATCTTCACATTAGGTCAATTGTCGGAGCATTTTATACTTTTGCATAGTAAAATTTTTTTCTGCTGCACAGTAGCCAGCAGGTAGCTTGTCGGAACGTTGCCCATCCGTTACCGGTAGCTCAGCCGGCTTGCACCTGTTGCATTTTATTCTCTTTTTTCTTTCAGGTATTGCGCTACAGTAGCTGAGGTGTTTCCCACCTCTAGCTAACGTGTATAATGTGTGTGTGTGTGTTGGAGCACCGCCATGTTTATCGGCGGCTCATAGCCGTGTTCCTGACATCAAAGGGGCTTTCAATTCGCTTGATCGATGTGCCCTTTGGGACTGTCTACTTAGGAAAGGTATTCCCAAGAAAGACGCGCTGTGCGCGCGTAGCTCGGGCAGGCTGTCGCCGCCCTTCAATATCTCCTGTGGTATGAGACAAGTTTAACAGCTGTCACCTTTCCTGTCTAACTTCGCCATTGACGAAGTCATGCAAACGGCGTTCGCCGGGCACAACTTGGAAGGGGTGGAGCTTCTTCCTGGTGAACGACTTCTCGACTTTTAGTATGCCGACGACATTGCGCTCATCTGTGACAACCCACGAACTTGCCAAGCTGCATTGGATAACTTAGCTCTGGCTGTCAGTCGTTTTCGGTTGTGCTTTGTGCCCTCGAAATGCAGTCTTCCAAGATTGGCAGGGACTCACTTCTACGCTGACCCTTGGTGATGATCAGCTAGTCGTCCAGATGTATCTGGGTCACGAACTGTTTAAAATATCTTGGTGTGCCATTGCCAATCTCCGCCACCTTTGGCGCCGACTTGACATTACCCTCTCCCTGAAGCGTAGAGTGTACAATGCAGCCGTGCGTTCGACCGTATTGCACGGCTGTGAAACTTGGCCCATTAGATCGGCAGACGTAAAGTGGTTTGTTACGTTCGACAACCGGTGCTTTCGCAGTTTGGCTCATATCTGGTGCAAACGCCGCATGGGCAATGAGCGTTTTCGGTGCCTTGTTTATGGCATAGGAATAGGAAGTGAACCGCTCAGCATTGTTATTCCACAACCATTTTCCGATGGTGGGGTCACATGTTGCTCATGACTGTGCACCGCCTTCCGCGACGTGCGTTTGCACGACCGGGGTATGGATGAAAAAGGAGAAAGGGAAGCCAACCGGCGACATTGTCAGGAAGATTGCTTGTCCTTATTTCGACTTTGGCTTCAGTCGGAGCCTCACGGCTCCCTGGTTTGAGTCTGAAAGATTCTGCTAACGTCTGGTATGGCTAGGAACCGACCTCAGTGGCGCTTGTGTTGTGTTTCTTTGCCCCTCCCTTCAATCACGATCTTATTTCTGACGCATAATATAACCGTTTTGTGGCACAATAGCCTGCTGCTAGCTCTCTGTAACCATGTCCATCCGTTACTGGTTGATCGGCTGGCGTGCCTTTGTTGCTTAAGTTGTTCCTTTCTCGCGTATTGCGACACATAGCTATGTTTCTCACTTCCAGCTAACATGTATAAAGTATTTCTCTTTTAATGTCATTTAAAATCACATTTCAGATTGCAAACTCTGTTTTCCTCATTGGCCATTGTCACACTTCGAAAATCTGCATTCCATGTCATTGCGCCCCAATTTGTTAGCTGTTTTTAGAAGGTAATTTTCGTACATCACCCAGTTCTTTTAGCTTTCCCCGTTCAGCTCAGATAAGGATGGAAATGGGCAAATCGATGCCCACGAGTTACAAGGGGCCTTATCTAACGGTAAGTTTCAGCATGTTCCACCACCTTTCATCCCGAAACGCCTTTTCATTAATTGCGACATTTTCCGCTACATCTTTGTGATCCATTGAGTTTCTTTTGAATGCGCGGGAGAGTAAATGCAAGCTAAAATCTTGTGCTTATCGATAATCTTTTGTTATTGCATGAATATAAGAGTTTTTCTCTGTTGTGTCTTGGCGTTGCAATGCACTACATTGGTACGTTTTCACTCCCCGAATTTTGTTTCCACTTCCTGCGCGCGCTAACTATGCACTGTTTTTATCGCTGGTGGTAAAACCAAAGTAAGGGTCTTTCGTAGTGCTGTCATTGCTCCACTGTGCTCACTTTTACTCGGATGACTCAGACCACAATAGTATGACACATCATGCTTGCTTCATGGTTGTGCAACTTGACTCATCCGCACAATGACCAGATATCTTCTATTCTTGGTCGCTGATGCATTCGAAGGATTGCTTCCGTACGATGATGCTCTACTAGTAATGCAGACTTTTGTCGAAACGTTTTCACATTGTACAAACTGTCAACCGTTGAACTGCGTAATTCAACTGCACCTCTTCCGTGACTGAGTCATGGACCCATCAAATCTTCCTAGGTGTTACCTTGCTGTGCGCTTCTTTTACATACTGACTAGCTGTAAACAACGGCAGGTTTGGTTCAAAGTCACAAGACCCAGATTGTGTTGTATTAAGGCCATCCCTATTTCCGAGTTAGAAATCCGATGACTGTGATCACATTTTGTTTGAAACTCTTGAGCACTCGTACTCAGTGATAAACATGTCATGCGATTCTGATATCTTCACACTCGTTTATTTCATACGTTTAAGTTTCTCATAGTGTTACGATATATATATATATATATATATATATATATATATATATATATATATATATATATATATATATATATATATATATATATATATATGGTTGGCGGCATCCGGTTTCGGATTTGCCTGTCACTGTGGCCAGCCACAGGACGCCTGCGCCTACAGAGGGACCATGGGTGGCTTGCGCTGCACCACCCACAGCTCCAACCACACACCCCATATCCAGTGTAAACCCGAAGGAATAAGACCGGGAGGCATGCGGATGGGAGCCACGTTTCATCAACGGAGCCGGCAAACACAAGCACGCTGTATTTGGGGAATCAAGCGCACACAAGGCGGTGGCTGGACCGTAGTCCGCTCCACACTGACTGCATGGAACCACTCTTTGATCCTAACATGGCCACAAGGACCGTGCACCCCGTCCCCTCCGGCAACGAGCAACTGTCTCCTGGAGCCAGTATGGACGAGGTAGTGGGTAATAGACAGGTAGGCACCTGGTCAACATGCACATCAAGCGCAGCCACACCGGGGATATCAAACAACAGCCAATCATTTGAGAGAGAGGGAGACAAGAAATTAAATCGAGTAATGCATAAGGAAACGGTGACATATCTTGAAGTAATGAGTATCTGAAGTAGATTGTTTACAGAAGAATGTGAAATAAGTTCACGAGGTCAGGAAGTATAATTTACGGAAATACCACAAAATTGTTTTCATAAAGGACTAGAATTGGCTTAAGTGACGTGTGCAAGTTTATAGATGAACGTACGGGTAGACATTTATACGAGAAAGCAAAGCATTGGGACAAAATTGAAAACCCACACCTGAAATAAACAGGCTTAGCACGCAAGCAAACGGTGACATAAATCTTAAATTAGTGAGCATATGAAATAAGTTGTTTACAAAAGAATACGTGGTGAGTTCACGAGGTCAAGAGGTTTATTTTACGGAAATGCTACAAACACGAAAATGTTATCGAAACAACTACAAGTGGCTTAAGCGACGTGTGCAAGTGTATAGAAGAGAGTATAACTAGGCATTTATATGGAAAAGAAAAGCATTAGGGCAAAATTGAAAACCCACCACCTGAAATAAAAAGACTTAGCATGCAGGCACGCGGTTAGTAAATCGAATGCAGCGTACCTACAAACGCTGCGCCGGTTCTGCCTACGTTCTCTGCAGAACCCGTTGGCGCTTCGATAGTAGTCCCGATTGGCCTCACTCATGACTTACTAGGCCTGTCTGACTCAGGCACTCGCGACCGCATGTGCTACAGCACCATGCACTCGATGTCGATGGAATACAATCCATCGGTGCTTGCCGCTTCCGCACTTGCCGCTTCTTCTCTGCATGCATGAGGTCTTTCTCCCGCACTTCAGCAACTGCCTTCGTGATGAGATCGTGCCATACGCGCCGATCAACCGCTTTCGATTCCCATGACCTGCGATCAAGATTAGAATGTGTGAGGCTCACTTTGATCATGTCTTGATAACGTAACTTTGGTTTCCCCACGTGCCGCTTCCCCAATACTCAGCTGACCGTATAAGAGTTGTTTCGGTATCCGAGTCGAATCCTGCACAGTAGGCCCGATCTTTGATGGAGAGGCAAATGTCATGGCAACGCCACAAGTGCCTCAGCCTAGAAAAAGTGAGGCGTTCTCTCGAGATGCGCATCGAAATCTCGTCTCCAACCCCCCGCCAGCAGTAATGCATCTTCCCAAGTAGACCAAGCTTTCCACAATCTCCAGTGTCTCACCACCAAAAGTGAGTGCAGGCACAGGCATCTGTGGGTCTTGAAAGAGCGCCTTGCATTTGGATGGCGAAAAGTACATACCATACTTTGATGCTTCGATCTTCAAGCGGTTTAGCGCGTGTTGGACGGCGGGTGGATCGTCACCCAGGGAGACGATATCATCAGCACAGTCCAACTCGACTACCTGGGAGGAGCTCAATGCCAGCGTTCAACGAATCGCCCAGATATCCTCAATGGCGAAGTTGAATGGAAACAGAGAGTTAGGGCATCCTTGTTGAACTCCACTGGTGACCACAAAGGAAGGTGAAAGCTTGCCATAAGCCCCAAACCTGCCAAGGTCAGACCATAGAGAGCGCACAGTACGGAGACTAACTTCTCGTGGACGCCATTCTTTCGTAGGCAGTGCCATAGTACCGTTCGATCGACAGAGTCGAAGGTTGCACGGATATACAAGAACAGAAATTGTTTGCCTCTGATACACATGACGGAGCTCGAGGATCTGGTGGAGTGTGAAGATTTGATCGATGCAGCCTCGGCCAGGGCGAAACCCAGCTTGTTCTTCTTGCTACACCGATTCGCGCGTCGGGGCTAGCCTGTGAAGTATGATGGACACCAGCAGCTTGCAAACGACAGGGACTAAGCTTATGCCTCTGCAGTTGGAGCAGATTATGCGTAGACCTTTTCGAAGATGGGGACGACTATCGATTCACTCCAAGAAGATGGAACTTCCTCTTTCGACCACACTTTGAGTTCTCGAACCAGCGAAACACAACTATCTTTAAATAGAGCTGGAGGAAGACCATCAGGGCCGGGGGCTTTATAACGCTTCATGTGGCGGCGCTTCTCGATTTCCTAGTAAGAGGGAGGATCTATGGGGTCATCATCATACACGTTAGCTAGAGGTGAGGAACAGCTCATCTACTGTGCCGCAATACATGGAAAAAAGGGGGAAAAATGCAACTGGTGCAGGCTGGCTGAGCTACCGGGAACAGATGGGCATCGTTCCGGTAAGCTACCAGCCGGCGGCTGTGCACCAAAAAAAATTACTATGCAAAATTATAAAACACTAAATGATGAGATCGTGTTTGGAGGGGGAGACTAAGAGGGATGGGGTGGGACAAAGAAACTCACAGCACGAACGCCACTGAGGTCGGCTCCTAGCCATATCAGCAAGTGTGTCCAACCAAACGTGTTCATCGTCTTTCGGACCTTAACCAGGGAGCCGAGACGCTCCAACCGAGGCCAGCTCAGAAGTGAGGGCCTTCATTCCTCTGGACCAAGTCATCGCTTGGCCACTCCTCCTCTTCTTCCATCCACATCCCCGGCGCGCAAACAACACACGTCGCGGGAGTCGGTGGGCTGGCATGCGTAACAAGTGGCCGAGCCATCGGAGCCTGATGCGTGAAATAACGGTGCTGAGCGGTTCAGTTCCTTTTCCTGTGCCGTAAACAAGGCATCGAACACGCTCGTTGCTCACGCGGTGTTCCCACCAGATGTGAGCTAAATTACCAAGGCACTGGTGGTCAAACGTAACTAACCTCTTCAGGTCCGCTGCTTTAAGCGGCCAGGTTTCACAACCGTACAATAGGGTCGAACGTACCGCTGCATTGTACACTCTACCCTTCAAGGCGAGAGTGATGTCGCGTCGGCGCCATAGGTGGCGAAGGTTAGCAAAAGCGCCCCGAGCTTTTGCTATACGATTCGTGATTTCATCTTCATTCCCACGGGCGCTGATACAACTTCCCAGGTAGTTGAATTTTTGAACGACTTCTAGCTGATCTCCACCAAGGGTCAGCGAATTGAGGCGGTCCCTGCCAATTTTGAAGGAACGCTTTGCACTTCGAGGGTGCGAAGCAAAGCCCGCAGTGACGGACAGCTAGTGCTAATCTGTCCAGTGCCGCTTGACACGTTTGTGAGCTGTCACAGATCAGGGCAATATCATCAGCATACTCTAAGTCAAGAAGTCGTTCTCCTGGGAGTAGCTCCACACCTTCTAAGTCGTGTCCTGTGAACGCGATTTCCATGACTTCGTCAATTGCGAAGTTGAAGAGGAAAGGTGACAGCGGGCATCCTTGTCTCACGCCGCTGGAGATATTGAAGGGTGGCGACAACTTGCCGTAAGCCCTCACTCTGCCCGAGCCACGCGCACATAATGCTCTGATCTGTGGGGTAGACCAGTCGGCACCAGTGCGAGCGCCAGAGCTAGCAGATGAAGCTGGGGCCCAACAAAACTGCGAGCCAAAATGTTGGGCTTATCGCTCCAACCGTCATTGAACATTGGTGTAACGTCCACCGTGAATGTTGAATAACTCGTAGACAAAGATCCCGAAATCAAAACAAATCGGATCACAAATACTACGGCACTATTAAAATATATACAGTTGATAATTGGGACATACTTCA